TAATCCCAGCACTCGGGAGGCTGAGGCAGAAGGATTGTTGCGAGTTCAAGGCCAGCCTGGGCTACAAAGTGAGCTCAAGGCCAGCCTGAACTGCATAACGAGACCCTGCCTCAAAAAAAAAAAAAAAAAAAAAAAAAAATTGGGTAAAATCTATGAACAAAGAGTAAATCATTACTAAAATGTTCTAAGAGGACAAGACAACCAAAAGAAGGTGAAAATTTAAATCTGGCCGGGAGTAGTGGCACACTCCTGTAATCCCAGCACTCGGGAGGCTGTGAGGCAGGAGGATCGTTTCGAGTTCGGGGCCAGCCTGGGCTACAAAGTGAGCTCAAGGCCAGCCTGAACTGCATAGTGAGACTCTGTCTCAAAAAGTCCAAAAGACAAAAAAAAAAAAAAAAAAAAAAAACCTTAAATCTGAGCACATTGGGGTTTTTTTTTGGTTTTTGGTTTTTGGTTTTGGTTTCGGTTTTTTTCCAGTACCAGGAATCGAACTCACAACCTTGCACTTGCCAGGCAGGCACTGTACTGCTGAGCAAAATCCCCAGCCCCCTGGTATTTTTTTTGTTTTGTGCTCTTGGAGATTGAACCCAGGACCTTTGCACTGAAATCCCCAGAACTTTTTTTATGTTTTATTTTTAGACAGGGCATCATTAAATCACCGAGTTTTCTAAAATGGACCCAAAATTGTGATCCTCCTGTTTCAGCCTCCCAGAGTGGTGGGATTACAGGCATGCCCCATCAGACCTAGCTAAGCATGTTGCTTTTAAAATAAAATAAGTCATAAGGACATTAATAATAACTACAAACATGGATTGCTAGCAATTTAGCACACTTGTGTGTGTACTCTACTTCACTGGAACCTGAACTCTGCAGAGACGTATTATTTCCATTTTATAATTAAGAAAACTGAGAATCAGAGATGTTGCCTAATGTCCGACAGACAGTAACTCACTGAGCCACAATTCAGACACTGCTCTTTGGCCTCGGGAAACAGCTCAGTGGCACGGCACCTGCCTGGCAAGCACAACCTCCTGAGTTCGACTCCCAAGTACCAACAAAACAAAACAAAACCAAAACAAACACTGTTCCTCAAGCCCCTTCACACTATACCAAGTTACCTCTGTCTGACTGTTCATATATCCAATTTGGGGGGGGGGTGTACCTGGAATCGAACTCAGAACCTCACACTTGCCAAGCAGGTGCTGTGTTGCTGAGCTATATCCCCAGCCCCTCATATATCCAAATAAATGAATATTACGCTACTTTTCTTCCCACTTGAGAGGCGAGACTCCTAACATACAGATGTTAAATGGCTCGGATGAGTTACTAACGCACAGGAAGTGCAAACGATGGGCCATGTCCTCCACCGCCATCAGCCTGAATCCCGTCCATTGAGTCCCATGAACCAGGAGCGTGGGCCTCACTCCATGATGATGTGGGGTTTTTCAATTTT